TTTTTTTTTTGGTACCAAGGATCGCACTTGACCACACACTTGCCAGGCAGGTGCTGTGCTGCTGAGCTAAATAAATCCCAGGCTGGGCCTCACAACTTTCCTTAAACCTGCTGGGAGATCCAGACTGGCTGCTTTTGAAGCAGGCATTGGTGCTCATTCTGAGGGGAAATAGCTAACCCATACTCTTTGCAAAAACCCATCTACTCTTTGAGACCAGGGACCCTTTCTCCACACCTGGAATGTGTGCTCCCTCAACTCATCAGTGTGGCTTCACTCTTCTTCCCATTGTCTGCTGAGCAGACTATACTCCAAACATTTGGTAGAGCCTAGCATGACCAACTGTGTACACTCTGGGCCTGTTGTTTGTTTATTCTCTTAGTGGGCTTCCTGGAGGGGAGAGGGTGTCAGCTTATTCTTAAACACCTAAGGTGGGTATGATCCTAGTAGGTGGCCTAGAGGCTTTCCTCAAAACTCCTTGGTTTATTGATTGGCACTTGATTCTCTTACCATATAGGTCTTGTTCATCCCCTCTCACTGAAGAACCAAATCAGATCTCATACTGTTTTTTTTTTTCTTAATACTGTTTTATGACTGGAAACTTGCTATGTTCCTAAAGCCCTAGTCTTCCTGCTACCTACAAGTTCAGACACTGGTTTATAAGTCAGTGAGAATGTTTGAAACCCAGCCATTGCAAACAACTGAAATGCAGTGTTTCCTAATTTCGCACCCAACTCTGTAGTTTGTCTTTTCTTTGTTCAGCTTCTTCATGTCTATTTCTCCTGAGTTTACCTGCCCAACATGGCTTCTTCTAAGCCATTTCTGTGTGAGGCAGGTCCCTTCCTTTTTTAGTTTCCCATCTTATCTGTGCCTTTTCAATCCTTAGGAGCCTCTCTTCTCTCTAGCCTGTTACTAGGTCTGGGTCCTGATATATCTCTCTCAGATTTTCAAATATTCTGTATGCTGCCTTCGAGCATTCGGTCCACTCACCAGAGCTGACCATGTTACCTTCTTTACAACTGTCTTGTGAGGTTTAGGGGTGTAGCTCAGTCGTAGAGCCCTTGTCTACCATGTGCAAGGCCCTTGGTTCAATCTGTAGCACCTCAGAAAGGAAGGAAGGAAGGAAGGAAGGGGGCCAGGGATTTAGCTCAGTGGTGCTGCCACCTGCTTTGCAAGCGCATGGTCCCGAGTTCAATCACTGGTACCAAAAAAAAGAAAAAAAATAAAAGAAACCAAGAATTGCTGTGGATTGGATTATCTACAGGGAGAGTTTCAGCATCATACCTGAAGCCTCTGCGGCCTTGTTTTCCCTCCATTCTTTCTGTATTTGTGTGT